ATTCTATTGTCTTTACCTTTCATTATTTCTGATGAGAATCAATAGTATTTCTTATCTTTGTCTCATATAAATGTCTTTATGTAGCTTATTTTAAGATTTTCTCTTTATCATTAGGTTTTAGCAATTTGATTTTGATGTGCTTTGGTTTTGTATTCTACTTGGAGTTTTTTTAGTTTTTTGGATATGTAGGTGTATATGTCTATCTATTTGAAATATTTTTAGTCATTATTTCTTCTCTCTCTCTCTTTTCTTTCTGTGATTCATTATATACATATATTAGACTGCTTAATATTGTCCCACAGCTCCCTGAGGTTCCAGTTCAGTTTTTAAGCTTTTTTCTCTTTCTTGTGCTTCAGTCTGGACAGTTTCCATTGCCTTGTTTTCAAATTCATTATTCGTTTCTTCTGCAGTGTCTGATCTGCTGTTAAGCATATCCATTATGTTTTAAAATTTTCATATATTGTATTTTTCACCTCTAGAAGTTCCATTTGGTTCTTTTTAATAGTTTCTATTTCTTTTCTCTTTCTGTTTATTTTTCTTTTAAGTCTTTGAACATATTTATGGTAGCTGTGATAAAGTCCTTATCTGTTACTTTCATCATTTCTGTCATGTTTGGGTCTATTTCCTTTGACTAGTTTTGGAATACTTTCCTTCTTCACTTCTTGATTGGATGAACATTGAAATAGTATACTGTCTACTGCCTGGGTTTCATTGTCCTCCTTTTTAAAAATGTTGTTTTCTTCTGGAGTATATTAATTTACATGTGAATCAGCTCAAACTTTTAGAGACCTATTTTTAAGTCTTGTTAAGGTGGATCTAGAACAATGTGTTCAATAAGAGTTTCTGCAGTAATGGAAATGTTTTATATCTGTATTTTCCAATATGATAGCCACTAGTCACATTTGGCTACTAAACACTTGAAATGTGTCCAGTGCAATTAAGGAACTAAACTTTTTATTTTGTTTTACTTAATTTAAACAACGTATGGCTAGTGGCTACTGTATTGGACAGTGCAAGTCTAAAGTTATCTCTACTCTCATGCTAATTTATCCTTACTCCTAAGGAGTGATGTTTCTGAAGTCTTTATACTGAAAGCCCTGCAGGTTTGGTGAGGCATCTCCAGCTGATTAGAACTTGGCTGTCTCCTAGTCTCATACAAGCTGCAATTGTTCAGTTTACAGCTCCCCAGTAGTTATTCTTTAGCCAGAAATTGACCTTCCTGGCCCTGTTGAGTCTCACCTTACTCATATACTGTTTAGCATTCAGCTGAACACTCAAGTGTGTAAATATCTAGAACTCTTTCTATTTTCTGGTACTTTGCCCCACAAATTCCAGCTTCCTCATCCTGCCTAACCATCTCTATGTCTTTAGCTCAACAAGATCGCCAGCCTCTTCTTGGATTCCCCTATCCTCTGCAGCATAATATGCCTCCAGGAAGCTGAGGTGTTACAGGGCTTATGTCATTTTTACCCCTTCTCTCAGGGATCACAGTACTGCACTCACTATTGTTTAGTATCTGAAAAGTTCAGGTTTTTGTTTTTTGTTTTTTGTCCAGTTTTCTGGTTGTTTATGACAGAAGTACTAGTCTGGCACCAGTTACTCTATTTTGTTTTCAAGCCAGTAGATTATGTCTTACTAAAACCTCTGTTCTCAACCCAGTGGTAATGGTTGCTGCCTTTGTTGGAGACTATATAGCATGTTAAATTGGAGATTTTTTTCATCCTGGCAAAATTATGAATTTGTTCATTCTTCATAAAGATAGCAACTGATGTGGGGATTCTGCTATTTACAAAATTTTCACAACAAATAGTTATTTAATGTATGTCACAAATTAGTGGGTTAAAATTTTAAGTACTTAAACAAAAGTATAAGCATTGAGATTGTATTTCTACCCTGTGATGAGAAAGTTTAGTGTGTTTATTTTCAGTGGAGTAAAATAAACAGTCACTATTTAAAAATTCAGCTGTACTCTCTTCTGTTGTACTATCACTGCCCGGTAGCCAGTTCTTTCCCAGTCCTTACAACAACCCATTGAAGAAGACAGTAAGATTGTAATCTCCATTTTACACATGAGGAAACTGAGACACAGGGAGTATAAGCAACATTAACAGGGTCACACAGATAGTAAATGGCAGAACTGAGATTTGTATGCAGTTAGTCTTGCTTCAAAGTCCATATTTTCAACCACAGACTTTCAGAAGACCTAACAATGTAAACAGCATACATATGAGGGAGGTGTAAGTGTTTATACATATGTAGTCACTGTATTCCCATTTCCAGATAAAGGAACTGAGACTGAAAAAAGGTTAAGTGACTTTTTTGGTGCCACTGCTGGTAAAAGGTAGATTTGGGATTGAAACTATTTGTGTTTGGGTCAAAGAACCGTCTGTTTGGATAGTCATCAGACTGCTGTTTTTTCTTTAATGAAAAAGTGAAATATTGGAAACAATAGTAGGGGTAGTCATTTAGGAAGTCATGGTATATTGCAAATGATAAAATACCATCCAACTATTTTTTTTAATGTTGAACACTGACAGGGAGAAAAGCAGTATGTAAAAGGATAAATATTTGTTTCAAACATATAAACATTTATATGAAGACCTACTTACTTTTGCTTTATCCCTATACAAACACTGAAACAAACATACTGTTTTTATTGATAAACAGTGAGACAAGGTGATATTGTTCCAAGGAAATAATGTAAGGAAAAATGCTTGCTTTATAGTAATTTCTGCTATAAGATAGGCTTTGTTACAAAATTATTTGTGTTTATCTTCAAGTCTACAAATTCCTTTTTATTCACCTAACTACTTTTCATTTTATCTATTCCAAATATTTACAAAACTAGATTTCCTTTCAAAAATGATTTATGTTCTGTTTAATTTTCCTGGAAGCTGTTAGCAGGGGTCTGGTAACCATTAGTTGTTTTGTTTTTTTTTTTTTTAAAGACAAAAAAAATTTATTTCCTAGAAAAACTATAGTCCATTTTTTTCAACTCTGAAATCTTTCATCTTCATGTTAATATAATTAACATATTTCAGATTGGCTTTTCATTTACCTAAATAGCTGTTATAAGAAAGAAACTAACAGAGTAATGATGAGTAAAGAGAAATTATGTGAAGGCAGGAAAAAAAGACGGAACAGCTCTCTGCTCTTAGTTTCCTTTTATGCAGACGGCATAGGCTCGCACCAGCTGTAAGACTGCAGCAGTAGAGCTGAAATCCATAAAGGCGACATGACTGATGCTCTTGATACCAGAGCCAGCCAAGCTGCATACCAGCTTCCCAGTAGCGCTTTGCTACCTTTGGTGGGCTCCCAGTGCAAGCTCAACCCAGTCCTGAACCATTCATTCTGCTCAGGAGAAAGAGATTCCATGCAGACACAGCATTTTGCAGAGGGTCTTGAAGAGTATGGAGATGAAGTGAAGAGATGTCCTCAGACTGAAAAATACTTCCATCTACTTCCATTATTTCCAGTATCATATTGAGGGATTTCCTTTGTGATATATATAGTCACCTCACCTGAGAATTCTACAGAGCGTCTGAAAGGCAAATCCTGACTTCTCTCACCCTCACTCATAGCAGCTGTCCCTAACCTAAGTTATTGTGGTATTCAACCACTCATGGGGAATTGATCTATGTTGTGGAAATTACAAGAATAATATTTATAAATATTCTTTCCCTCACATATTAGCTTTGGGGCAGGGTTAAGTTTCATTAGATGGGCCCTTTGTATCTAAAACTGAAAGTCTGTAACTCTATAACCTTCCCAGATCTTTTCCTATAAGTACAAACCGTTATTTTAAGTGTGATTTTAAATATCAGTGCTTACCTTTTTAAAGGACTGTTACTACTTGAAATTCATGTTAGAGACAGACTGCATCATGCGTTTGGATATTCAGATATGTCATTTTCTTAAGTATTGAAATTGAAAAGTAACTTGGGAGAACTTCTCAATGTTGTCATATTAATTATATTAACATTCATATTATAAGTAACATATATTCTTAAAGAAAAATCAGAAAATATAGATAAGCAAAATGAACATTTTAAAATGTCACCCATTTGGAAATAATCATTTTTAAGATAGAAGAGGAAGAAGGAATCAATAAAGATAAAAGAAATAATTACTATATTTCATCTGTTTTTAAGATGCCTATCTTTCAGATTTTAACATTTCTGAAATCAGGGTATGTGAAGGAGTTTAATTGCCTTTTTTAGTGATAACATTTAACAATGATTTAGCATCTTAAATCTGATGGTCTTGCATTCAGTGAAATACAGTAATAGATACATTGTTGTTTGGGGTATAGCAAACCTGAGTGACAGAACCGTGTTGCACAAATGGCTTGCACTGATTTGAGGAAGCATTTCCAATAGCAAAGCTTCTCTCTGGAACTGGTGTCTAGGGCATGCTGAACTCTGACTCCATTCCTGTCCTCTTCACTGCCATATCACTCCAGAGGAGAAAGGAAAATAGATGAGTCTTGGTCCTGGCACTACAGAGGGTGGCCTTAGCATCCATGCTTTTAAGTCCCACAGAGAAAAGAAGACTGGTGGTAGGGGCATCTTTCTGAGGCCATCCATCTCACCTTTGCTTCATCCTCTGCAGAAAGTACAATCACTGGTTAGTTTTTGAGACGGAAAATAGCTGTTAAATTTAGAAAATCTTTGATAAGAGTGACTGTTATGCTATTGTGTAATATTTCATGTTAAGTGGTTTGTTTCACTTACTGGGTAGTAAATATTTCTATTTCGTGATCCTTCCCATCTTTTTATTATAGTATACAAGGACAGAGTTGTGTAATCCAAGTAACACTAATATATCAGATAGCTTTTTTCAGATTTACTCTGCATTTATCTATTATTTAAATACAAAGCAAGTAACATGTACATATGTACTTTATTTCTTACTAGCTATTTTATTTTTATAAAACCTGTCGTTTGGGTTTTCTTCTAACTGGAAATTTAATGATTTCTTCCATTTATATATGCATGCAGGAAATACTAAAAAATGTAAAATATAGAGAAGAAATTAAAATGAAAAGCAAAGATATTTATGAAGAAGAAAAACTCCTTGATGAAGAGAGCAACAAGGAACTCTTGGCTCCACCAGTCCAAACTCAGATTAAAGGTCATGCCTCCGCTCGGTACTTTGGAAAAGAAGAACCCTCAGTGGCTCCCACCAGCACTGGTAAAACCTTTCAGCCAGGATCCTGGATGCCGCAAGATAGCAAGAGCCACAATTAATAAATGCACTGTGGTAAAATCATTTCATTTTTATGCATGTGACTATTTTAACAAATAAAAGTTACTTTGTATTTTCCAACTGTACAGTAGTTCTCTAGTCCATTAAGCTTAAGAACTTGTTTTTAGTATGAATAATAAGTGTGAGGTTATGAATTATAGAACCCTAACTTCTTTTAAACTTAAAGCCTTCACTTGATTTAATCATCATTCTCTATTTATAAATTTGCTTGGTTTTTCCCTCTTTGGATTGTTCCCTCGAAAAGTATCTTGTAGCTGTAAATGCTTAGTACATTTCGAATCCTTAGAACCATTTGAAACCACCCAAAATATATCTTGGTAGAAGTGATAAGGGTAAATATTGAGCTCTCCTAAATGATCAAATATAAAAGAAAAAATGAGAATCCTGCTATTTTTGGAGAAGCACTCTGTAAGACTCTAATGAACTAATCAAAAACATGAACTTGGATAAAACTTGTGGAATCCAAGAAAATTTATTTGATAAATGGAAAAAAAACACATAAAGATCTTGATGAGTAGGTGGGACAAAAGCTAGTTTATGGTAGGATTGAGGTTGGAGTGTGAAGGGAGAAATTAGGACCAACAGAAGTAGACAGTCCCTCACAAAAGTCTGAAAGGACAGTAAACAGAGAAATGATACAGAAACTATAGTTCTGTGAGATTAAAAATTACTTTGAGAATATAGAAAATAGGGGAGGATTCTCAGAAAGTGATTTCACTGATAGTGAAGATTACAGTGGCTTGTACATTGAAGAAATTAAAGACAGATGACAGTGTTAAAACAGATTATGTACAAGTGTTTCTGTAAAGTCATACATTTTCACAGAGTTCTAATTCTAATGTAGAGGTCTTCTCAGTGTCTGGCATTGTAATAGGTGCTCAATAAATAGGTACTGAATAAATGACCCAAATTTTAATGCTCTGAAAAATACAAGGAAATCCTTGGTTAAATGTTAAACAATGAATTCCTATAAACACATAGGTTAAGATTTTTACTTAATAGAAGGTAAAAATTTTAATTGCTTAAGAAATAAACTACAGAAAATACAATTTTATAAAGTGTTATACTGAAACAAGTAATAAAATGTAATCACAACACTTACTGAAAAACAGAAAAAATCCCTAGGTAGTAATATTAACATTCCAGCAGCCCCATTAATATCAGGTTAATCATTCTCTCTCTGCATATCATTACAAAGTAATATCACATTTTACCAAAGAGGCAAAAAAGAAAATAGCCACTAGGCAATATAAAAGGAGGTAGAATTTATTGTATAATTGACTGTAAATTAAGATGTTCTTGAATCCTAGATTACAGGAAAAACTATAAATTCTAACATGCCAAATAGAATGTTTCTACTACCAAATTCCTATTAACTTATTAATTGTATTATATATACATCTTTTACAAATGTTTGCTATATAGGCTGTTTATAAATGTCTTAATGTATGACAGTTTATATTAATTTTATGGTTTTATTTAAAAATACCTATTTTACATAAATAAAAAAAATCTTAGCCAAGAGTTATGTTATATATAGTAAGATAGTACTGACCCATTATTAGTAAACCATGCACTTTCGAAGTGGTTTTTGAGAGATGGGAGTAGTTTGTAGTAATCCATCTACACTCCTTTCCTCATTCTTAGGGTGACTGGTTATACTGTTAGGTAGTATAGAATAGAATTCTGAGAACATTTAGTCCTACATAAAAACTGAACTATATGTAATCTTGGCCTAATTAAGATTGCCTTTCTAAACAATCTTGTCTTTATACTTGGCTTTTAGATGCATGCATAGTCAAAGTTTGCATAAAATATTCACTTGTCCATCATATTTCACATTTTTAAATAGTTACATTTTGGCATAAGTTTTTTAAGTGAAAAAATGAAGTTTTTCTTCATTTCTTCAAGACACATTTTAAACCTATGCAGTTTTAACTTCAAAAGTTAAAATATTCATTTTCAAATAATTAAGAGTGTCAAATATAACTTAAGTGCTCTTTCAGATAATCCTTCCTGACTTCCTATACCTCTGCTATATGTGCGTATTATAGCATTTTCCCCCCAAAGGCTGTATTGTACAGACTGCTCAAATATACAACACATGTTGGCTGTTAGGCTTAATCATATAAATCTAGCCTATTAGCTATGCCTTGGATGTTTGAAGTTAAAAATCAACAAAATGGAGGAAATAATCTTTCCCCATTGATATCCTTTTCCATTCCTATTTTTACTAACAGATTTCTGGTTGTCACTTATTTCTTAATTTCATCAGTCTTGATTCAGTACCATCATACTGACTTTTTTAATGCTATCTCATTAACCACACTACTCAAAATGTAACCTGAATTCATTTAGATTAGGCTTTCTCATACTGTGTTCTTCGGGGGGAAAAAACAGAAGTGAGCAGAGTCTATGATAGTCAAATTAAAAGACTGCAAGAAATCATGCAGGAATGAATTGTCTTACCTTGTGTTTCCCAAACTTCTAACACAGAATCCCTTTCAATATGTTTGAGAAGTACAGAATTTGTCCTTATATATTTATTCCAGATTTGAAATAAATCAGAGTAATCCTATAATCAGCTGCAAACATAAAAGCAATCTTTCCTAAATAGGAAGCAGACTTCCTCTAACTTATAACCAGATGCGGTATAAAGTGCCCATAAAGGATGGGTGAAGAGCTGTTAGTTATAACTGGGTTTCCAGCTCACAGAATCCTAAGCTTATTTCCAGTTTGCTCACTGTAATTTCAAGAAATAAATTTAAAATGCCTTGCACATCTGATACAGTAACACCCCATGCTGAAGTTTACCACAAGGACACTTGGGATCAAATTCTGACACGCATTTTTTTGTTTGTTTGTTTGTTTTGGTAGAATGTTTGTTACAGGCAACCTATTTTCAGCCTATTTGTTTTTTCCCCACAACCAGCCATAAAAAGGTAATTGACTGTATTAGTTTCCAGAACTTCAGAAACAATATAAGAGGTAGGCAATTTTTTAAAGAAGCATTCTGCATAGTAGTAAATGGGATTCTTTCAATAAGTGGTATTTGTTATAGTGAAAGATTGATTTTTCTGAAGAACCTCAAACCTCACAAAACACAGTCCTTGACTTAATTTTGATTTTATGATACACATTCATTAATTTTCCGACTTTATGATACACATTCACATTTAACAGAAACCGTTCTTTGAATTTTGAATTATCTTTTCTTGGGCTAGTGGTGTGCGGTGGGACATTCTCTTGTGATGCTGGGCAGTAGCAGGGAGCCACAGCTCCCAGTCAGCCACACAATCACAAGTAAACAACTGACATGCTTACAACCATCCTGTACCCATACAACCGTTGTTTTTCACTTTCAGTACAGTTTCACTTTCAATTCAGTAAATTACAAGAGATATTCAAACACTTTATTATAAAATAGGCTTTGTTCTAGATGATTTTGCCCAACTGTAGGCTAATGTAAGTGTTCTGAGCAGGTATAAGGCTAGGGCTTAGCTATGAAGTTTGGTTGGTTTGGTCTTAAGTATTACATGCATTTTCAATTTACAGTATTTTCAACTTACAAAGGGTAATCCCACTGTAAATCAAGGAAGATCTGTACTCTCTAATTTACATACCCCTCCCCCACAACACACACAAACATAGAGACAAATATTGTAAAACCTTGTTGATCCTACATGTACAAAAAGGCTCCACAGATGTTGAAAAAAGCTGAAGAAACAACAAATGGCCTATGTCAAACAAACATAAAATTGTATTAAGACTAACAAAGTACAGGAAAATATATTTTAGTTAAATACCTTTAAATTCTCACAATGAACAGTGAAACCATAGCTTTAGTAGATAATTCTAAGTTTGTTTTAATTTCAATATCATAAAAAGCATATCCTACAGCACCTGAATAACTTAATTCACAACTAAACACTAAATTATTTTAGTGCCTGGAGCTGCAGCATGTGCACTGGCACCAAGTAGGAACTGACAACCTAAAATAATAGTAATAAATATTGTTCAAACCAGTCCATAAAGATTCTCAGAGGTCCTTAGGTTCTCATACTTAAGAAGCAATGCTCTGAACTATTACGAGTACGGCTGACCCTTGAACAACATAGGTTCGAATTGCATGGGTTCACTTATGCACAGATTTTTTTTTCCATAGTAAATACTACAGTACTACACAATCCAGGGTTGGTTGAATCCAGGGATGTGGAACTGTGAGTACAGAGGAACCTTGGAATTGCAGATACGGAGAAACTGCATATAGAAAGGAATAGTATATGGGGAGGGCCTACTATAAGTTATACAGGGATTTTCAACTGCAAGGGAGAGCTAGTGCCCCTAACCCCTGTGTTGTTCAGGGGTCAACTGTATACTTATCTATGAAGGAAATTCATAACCATTTGAGAAGTAATTTCTGTAACATATCTAACTTGTATTATTGAATTATTCTCCCCTCACCAAAAAAAACAAAGCCCAGGGACCTCTTTATAAAAAAAAGTATCAAATTTATTTCAATATCTGGTTTCATTTTTAAATGAAAGCTGTTGGACAATTTTTTGTAATTTAAAATTCATTGTCAGAAGCGAGGAAAACATTAATAAGCTATTCATTACTGATAGCAAATAAAATTATTAACCATGCATTTATAAAAGCCATGTTAAGGAGTAAAAAGTTCCAGTTATATTACTTAACTAAAGGAAATATCCTTTAGCTCTTTATTTCTAATCATAACATATTCTCAGTTTGACATAATTTACACCTTTCACCCAATTACTACTAGGCCAAACAAAATTCTTCCAAATGTTAAGCCTTTTCTCTACCACTTATGAAATATGACTTAACTGTTATTCTTTAAAAGTTCCTTAAAAAATTTGAAATTTTAATTTTCACCGTGAACCTGTTTGATCAAAAAGTACAGAACATCACCACAACATGACTTAAAACAAAGAATGGAATGAAAAACAAAGGTGGAGGGTGGGAAGGGATAGACTGGGATTTCAAAATTGTAGAATAGATAAACAAGATTACACTGTATAGCACAGGGAAATATACACAAAATGTTATGATAAATCACAGAGAAAAAAATGTGACAATGAGTGTGTATATGTCCATGAATGACTGAAAAATTGTGCTGAACACTGGAATTTGACACAACACTGTAAAATGATTATGAATCAATAAAAAATGTAAAAAAAAAAAGAAAAAAGAAAAACAAAGGTGGTATCTATATAATCAGCAAATTACCTGATAAGACATTTTAACTACTTCACATTTCTACTTAGCATAAATGAGAATAAACTGGTTCCAAGGTACTACAAGATTTGGCATTTTTACTGCAAGCTTTAAATCATAGTGTTACTCTACTCAAGCCACCTCTAAGAAAATGGCAGTGTTCATAAGTACAAAAATTGTTGTATCCAGTAAATGGTATTCTACATAGTCAAGATAATAAGAGAATTCTTTATAAAATTAGATTTTAAAAAATGTCTAGTCAATTACCAGTATCTCAAAAGCTAAAATGAGAAAAATCCAGAAAATAGAGAAGTACTCATTGAAGAATATTATTTTGCTTTGAGAAAGCCAGAAATGATTCTATTCCAAGAAATAAGCAATAGTGATAGATGTAATTAATATACTGTATCTCTTTTAAGCCAAAGCACACTTTTCACCTCAGCACAGTTCTGATTTTTACATTCATAAATTCCTTTGTCCAGAGCAGGACCCCATTTTAAGCCATTATTTGAGTAGAGTTCTAAAGTCTAAATAATCTAAAGTCCTTCTTCACCACAGGATGTTCACATTATACTGTATAAGCTGCAAAAAGGCAAATGACTAGATCCATTATAAAGAACCTGTAGCATAACCAATGTCAGTGTACAATTAACTGTCAACAGACTTCTACAGCAAAGCCCAAAAGTTGCTACAGTACAGGTGAGAGCTAACATGATCTTCCATATGCTCAGACTTTGTTTCCTAAACAATACTGTCACAAGATCCAGAAAAGAAACCTTAGTGGGGCCTTCTAGAGCTGCATAATTTTCCAAATGATGTTCCTCTGGCTGCAGAGCCTGTTCATTCCTTCAGTCCTTTTTCAGTCGTTTAGCTTTTGCGATGTTTTCTTGACGTTTTTGTTTCTTCTTTTGCTCCTTTTCCCTGGCCTCAATCATCTTGGCTAATTTCCAGGACAGTACAGCACTTGCAAGAAACAATGGAGTAAGGGCCAAAATAACTGTTGTAAGGAAGCCGTATGGGTCCTTGGCAGCCCATTCCACAACATACTCAGCCCAAGCCTTTATATCAAACATCTTTGTAGAGGTCTTAGGAAAAGGGGGGTGGGGGGAGGGAGAGAACAAGAGAAAAGACTATGTAATTAATCAAATTTTGAAAAAGTTACATCATACAATCAGTTAAAACAGAAGTCTATTATCACTCAACAGGTTTTTTTGTTTATAAAAAGTACTAATTAGTACTATTTTATATTTTAATAAGGACTAATATTTCCAGTAGGAAAGAATAATTCAACTAGGACAACCAGAAGAGCGACACTTAAAAGGTGTTAAGGTATAGAAGATAAAAGTAAAAACCATGTGGAATCTGTCATAAGGACTATGCATTGTCACATACTCCTATATTCAAGACACACTTTATTTACCAGCAGAGTTTTATAAGAATCTTGAGTTTTATGTGCTCATTCCAGGAAATAGATGAATACTGTTTGTCATTTTCTGACATAGCCTTAGTACCCTTAAGTACTAATTAACAAAAGTACAGTCATCAAATTTGGTGTCTGAAAAGGACAAGCCACAGAGTATGTGAAATGCTTGGAGAAAAGGAGGTAACGGGTGGCTGTTTCCAGGAAGGAAATAAGACAGTATGGGAACCATGATAATATCTATTTATATGCAAAGAGATAATAAGCAAAAGGTGACATGCTATTTTATGCCCTCTTTCAGCTCTGAGGACATAATTTAGTAAATGAGAACAAATTTAATAAATGAGAACATTAACCATTACAGGTGTCATGCATTTTGTTCCATTTTGAGTTGGTAAGGGAGGGCCATCTGGCAAATGAGGATGTTGTAGATTTGAGTGACATTTTCTATTTTGCCCCAGAGGCTTTTCAACCTCTCATATTTCTGTCAATCTCTATTCAAAGTGGAGAATTAGAATACTGTGTACGAATGGGTATATATACGGTCACTTAAGTTTTCAGCTAGAATTTTAAAAATCATCTACCTTATGCTGGAGTAGTGATCTCTAATTTTGTCCTGGGATTATTAGCCAATCACAATTTCATATGACCCTTGGTTGGTTGTCTTCTTTAGGTCACCATACACTTCTGAGAGAAGGCTTAAGTTCTATATAATGGTGGGTTGAAAAGAACAGATAAAAGAAAAAGTTAAAGTCACAACTCTAAGGATAATTGTAATACAATTTTAAATGGAAAAATTTTAAATTCTCTATATGCAATCTATAAATGACATGTAAAACTGCCTGGCACATTATACACATTTAACATATATTTCTTTCTAATTTGAAGAAAGAAATAATTACACAATTGCAAATGTCCTGTAAGAAAATCCTAATTACTGAAGATCAAATATTTTACTAAATTACTTATTTCAACAATAAAATTAATTACGAAGCTCACTAACATAAAGTTAGCTCACTGATATGTTACAGCATATCCATTCCCAGATCTTGAACTTTTTATACTAAAAATGTCAATTAATTTGTTTATAGGGTTAAGTATACAATTGCAAAATCAAACACCGTCTTACTCGTCAAGGTTTTGTCTCCCCATTATACAATTTATATTGTTTATAGAAAAATCAAAACTACGCAAAACAAAATATAAATCACCCACAGTCCCATCACCTAAATAAAATTACCACCACTGGTTTTAATTATATCCTATTACAATTCCTCCACATTTTCAACTGAAGACATTAAAGTGCCTAAGATATCCTCAAATATCCTAGCCTCCCCCTCACCGTTCGTACGCCACTCCCACACACGTCGCGACTAGGCTCTACAAATATCCATCTGTTCCTTCAGCCTCTCCAACCCATTAATGAATTAACTATTGCAAGATTCAGAGATAAGCAAAAGAACTCCGCAATAAAAGAGCAAAGCGGAAGGATCTGGTTATGGCAAAGTTTCTGCCCATCAACAGAGAAAGGAGTTACCGTCCACAAGACACATTTGCCGCGCACCTCAATTTCGGACACGAACGTACGCGCCTCCCACACGTAGAATAAATACTACGCTTCTTCCTTCTGAAAGGGGTCGACAGGGCTTGACCTGCAGACCAGACCCAGGCGGCGCCTTAAGTTGCAACTCATAGCACTTCACCGCCACCCGCACTTCCCGTCCTCGCGTTTCCCCTTCGCTCAACCTTCCTTCCTCACCCAACCCTGCCGCCTGGCCCGGGGGTCACGCTCACCCGACCCTCGTCGGCCTTGGCGAGCGCGGGCCCGTTGCAGCTCGCAGAGCGGGCGGTCCTCGGGAATCCGGGGTCGTCCCCGCCACACCTGGCGCCCCCGGCGCCGTGACCTCCTCCGCTGGGTACGGGGGTAAAACCACTGAAGCGGCAGCCACCAGCCTCCCCTACGTCGCGCCCGAGACGGGACACTCGGACCCCTACTTCCCAACTCACCGCCAGGCCGGAAGCAGGAAGGCGGAAGCCGCGGCTTTCCCGACCCGCCCACTGGCCGGCCTTCGCCTGGATCGGGCCTGAGGAAGTCGGGGGGCCAGTTTCCGGCTGCGCCATTGCTGTGTAGTACCGGACGCCGGACTTCGAGGACGCGGGGAGGGTGGGGTGGCGGCGGCTTTCTGGGGAGCGGCAGGTGAGGCCGCGCGGGGCGAACGGCGGCGCCCGGCTGCTCTCTGGCTCGGAGCCCGCGTCCTGCGCCTCCTGCTGGGGTGGCCTCCTGCCCGAGGCGCGGGTGGGCTGCGGCCTCCCGGGGCCGGTCCGGAAGCGCTGAGGGCCCCTACCTTTGCCCCCGAAGTCAGCCGGGGAACAGCCCCTCCCCTGCAGGAGCCCGGCCGTTGGTGGAGAGCCCCGGTGGGTGAGGTGCGCGACCCCCGGAAACTCCAACCAAAGAGCGGCAGCGAGAAAGGAGTTGGTCCCCCCAAACCGCCCAGAGTCAAGGTGAGGGTCACATAGCGACTCCTAAAGGATTCTAGTGAGTTCCTCTCGTTCACACCCCACCCTTTGCCCCTCACATCTTCTGGTTGGACAGTAGTTAAATCCTCACGTCGAGGAGACAAAGCAGCAGTTGGACCTTGGTGTATCCACTGAACCTTATTACTAAGGGAAAATGCAACCTCTGTGTGAAGAGGGGTTTTTGCTGTTTGCTTAATTTAAGAACCTCATTCATTTCACAAGAGAATGATGGATACTTGCCCAAAGTAAACTTGATAAATAATCAAGCTTTCTGGGCACAGAGTTCCCACAGAGGTACTTGTTCTTTCAATACACAAATAAAGGGATGCAAAAGTCAACAAGCAGAAAGAATGAGTTAATATTATCTTCTAATCTACAGGAACTGAGAGATTAATTCAGGTTTGGTTGGTGATCAAATTTTGTGATCCCTTGCACTGAATTGCTCTGTTTGACTACCTCTTCAAATGTTGCAAGACCTCTTCAGTGTTGTGTGCCAAATAAAGCAGGTTTTTATTCTTGAAAGACTATAGAATGTTCTCTTTGAGGAACAAGCTGTGACATGTATAACTAGTTTATGTATAACAACAGTAACTATTATTTACCAGGGAACAGGCTTTTGGAAAATAATCTAATGATCTAAAATACAGTTCGTTGGGCATATGTTAATGTTTGTATGTTGTATAAGCAGCGGTTGTTTTCTTACTGATTCTTCTTTGAAAACTTGGATGATGGTTTCAAAGCGTGTGCAGCTTGGACCTAGCCTGTACCTGTAGTAGCCAGAAAAAGTAGGCTCAGTCACTGGATTGTGTGTACTGAAAACCTGACTTGCTGGTGGTGACTCGGTGATTTTTAAAAATTTGCCCAAATAGTATTTCCAAGAGAGAGTCAGAATTTATTTTAACATCCTTCACTCCAGAGGCCAGTATGTGTATGTGTTATTTTAATAATGGTTAGACAGTTTTCCTAATCACTGCCTCCCCAGTAGTTTGCTCTGCTGCATCCCTTGTGGAATGCATAGCAGTCTTAGGCTGGAAGGAAAGGCACATAAGACGGAAGCATCTGTAGCTCTTTGGCTCTAGTGTAAACCAGGCCTTCGCAGTCTAATATTCCTGATCTAGCTTCCAGTTCTGGGGCATGCTGCAAGCCCAGGAATAGCATGGGGATTACCACAGCAGAGCTTCCTACTGCTACCTGCATTGCCTTAATGAAAAGTGGTGTCAAGATTGGTTCAGATGCAGTGGACTACTTTGTAGAGTGAGGAATCTTAGCTTGTGAATTGAGATTTACAGACCCTGTCTCTGCTGATCTGATACTCTGATAAGTCACTCTGAGCCTGTTTCCTCTCTTGTATGTAGAAAGCTACTAGATTATCTCTGAGGTTCTTTCAGCTTGACAATTCTGTTGATTGGACTGGATTTGGCCATTTTTCTAACTTCATAAGCAGCAGCAGAATAAGGAGTTTAATGGAAACATAGCCAGTTTGCTTAAGGGCTTGTTCTTTATTTGAAAGATCCTTAATTGGGCTTTTATCTCTCAAATGTTTCTCAGAATACCAACTTAAACTAACAAGGAAATAAGGTCTGCTTGTATTTATTTTTAAGAAATAAAATCTTACTGTCCATGTAACTTTAACCAAATTAACTAAACCTTGCACTGTTAATTAAGGAAGGCTTGTCTTTGCATAAGGATAATTCCTTTGTAGTATATCACATCACCATCCACACTAGTTACTATTTTGCAATTATATTTTGAAAATGGAGCCTTACAAATTTCTGTTTTTTCCTCCTAAGAAGGTAAGGCGTAGTCTTTCATTTGTTGGTTTAAAAAGTCTTTTAGATGGTACAAAGTTACCTTTCACCTTGACCAATGTCAAAATTATGAATGAGTAAAACCTGAATAAGATTATATTACAATAATCTAGACTTAACTAAAGATTTTGAGAGCTTTCTCACCTGCTGAACATTTTGTGCTTATTTCCCTGCAGTAACATCACATATAATTTATTTTGATGAAATTGATTTCTTCTCTAAGTTTTGTGAGTTTTTTTCCTTCCATTAAAACAATGTAGATACATTGCTTAATAGGTACATTTATGTGAAAAAAAGTAAGTCAGGTCTTAGTGGTATTTAGAAGATCATACTACAGAATAATACATTTAAATAATACATATTTATTGAGTACTTACTATGTACCAGGTACTAGGCTAGTGCTTCGCATATATTATCACTAATCCTGAGATTAAATGACCCTGCAGGATGGTAATCTTTTACCCATTTTACAGATAAGGAACCAGAGACTTTAAAGAAGTAGAGCAGTATTCTAAACAGATTTGGCCAAGAAAATCCCTGCTCTTTTTTTGATGTCCAAAGACTAGACCAAAATGCTGATTTCATAAAATTAAAATATATTTTTTATTCTGTAATTGTTAATTAACTAATAATCACAACTAAAATCTTCCCATAGTTCAAAATTGCCTATTGCCCAGGTGGTGGCAGCATGTCTCAGAGCTCATGTGGTATGAAAGGTTTTCTTCATCCAACACACAAGACCTGTCAGTTTCTGCTTCTCTCTTGGACACTTTCACTACTGTTAGACCAACCCATCAGTGATTCGCTCCACCTTCCATCCTCCCTTCTGCCTCATTTTCTGGATGGGTCATACTCTGCCGGTTTGCTTTCAGCCTATTTTGCCTACAAAGAAAGCATCTGGAAAATTCATTCGGGCCTATCCAGCAACACAAAGACCTTTTTTTTTTCGGAATATTGTTATTTTTCACCCATTGTTAAATGTAATTTGGCAGACACACATCCTAAACTAAATAATTAGCTAATATTATTATGAAATACTTGTTTCAAAGGCATGCTTCTTAAACTGTATGGGATATACCAATTAAGGAGGTACTGAAAAGCTTTTAAAAGAGAAATTGTCTTCAAAATAAGATGATTCAGTAGGGAGCAGTGAAAGATCATATAACTCAATATGTATATTCATATATATAAGCAGAATAACCAGTGAAACCTACCTTAGCCAAAAATTCCTTGGACCGTTATTCTCCATCTTTGCAAGCCACTGCCTTTCTAGAGGTTTCAAATCAGGTAATACCTCCTCCCAGAAGCCCTTTCTACCCCTGTCACTTTTTTTTCCCACAGCACTGAAGTCTGACATCTTGTTTACTGTTTATTGTTTACTCTTTCCCACGAGAATGTAAGCTATATGAAATCAGTTACCACAGTACCTAGAATATTGTTTTGAGTAACTGGTTCCAAGATAAAACACTGCCACTGTTGGTGTTTGAATGAATCATGAAATAATATAAATCCCAGGAATTTGTGAAGCTCATGTTAAAGTACCAAAGTCTTGTAGTATGTTTTGGAAGTAATAAGGGATGCCCTCGGAAGAATGGGTCTAAAAGGTTAGTAAATAAGATGTTTGGGGAAAGATAAAAATAATTGTGGTTATCTTGTTAATGGAAGAAGACTAGTTGCTTAAGGATTTCCAAGTATGTAAAAGTATGTTCAAGGAACAGAGTGATTCATCATCTTCACTGATAAGATGAAAGGATTAGTCCTAGACTGTAGGTGCTAAGATTCAAGATAAGAACAAGCTAGACTAGAGATCTAAATAGAGATCTTTGAAAATGGGGTAAGAACGTATATGCAGACTAGATGCCTTCTCTAGATATTTCCCGACTTTATGATTCCCAATGCAGATTGCAAGAGAAATATTAGATAGCAGTTGCTTCTTTGTTTATTCCTTGCTGCCCATGGCCCTTTCTGCACATTTCAGAAACATTTCAGTGTGTTTGAGCACTGTCAGTATGGGTGATTTGATTGCTGCTTTAGGAAGTTTATAGAAATCTTCACATAATACTGAAAATAGAGTGTTTTTAACACTGAAATTATTTACAATTCTGTATCTCCAGAATGTACTGTGCATACATGCACATGCAGCAAACTAATTCCCTATAATTAGAGAGCACCTTTTGGAAGGTTAAAATTTCCAGTAAATTCTTCTGAAGCCTTGGATTGCAGTCCTGTTAGAGTATGAGGGACACTAGGCTTTCCTCCTGAACCCCAAAGTTTAAATATTAGGCTTACCCCTAAATGATGTAATTATATCAGCCATGAAAAGTCACCTTTAATTTCTGTGCTGCATCTCCTAGCCTTTAAAGAGTTGCTCTCCTACTGAGAAAATTGATTCATGTGTAAGAATCCTTCGGTGTAGAAACCATGTGTATTGCAAAAGCAGCCCCTAGTAGCATCACCTTCACTGAGTAGCACTTGAATTTGATACTTTCCACCTTCACCTAAGCAAGCTACTGGAAGTAACCATCTCAGACATAACTGTTTTTGCTATATGATATTGTCAGGTATGTTGTCCTCTGTGTCATACAGTGCCCTTTATATAAAGTCCCATGTAAGATATTTTACAATGTAATTCTAAAACAAGTTTTGGAAGCCACTTTTCTGATAGGAAGAATTTTACCTTTGATTTGACGGGAAGCTCAAGAGCCAAATTTGAAATTCATGTCTAACATTCATCCTGACTTGTATCCTTTCATTTTTTAAAAAATGTATTTATCCTAGGACAAATATTCTATACCTCTCATTATTGTATATGTTCATGTAGTAAGATACCTCGAGCCCCTAGTGAAAAAGGCACAGTATAGTTTGCCTGTAGATCAAGTATTTGAAATCCAGAACTTTTACAAAGATGTCTGACATGTAACAAGTAGTTATTTGCTAGTAAAATTCTTCCACTGCTTTTAATTTTTATGTTTATTTTAAAATCTTGCACTATAATCATACCATTCAGAACTAAGGAACATAGGAAATCATTGTTTGGAATTGCATCCCAAAGTTTAATTCTAAAAACTAGTTCTTTCCTTTAATAGCCCTCAGAGTATAATGTGTATATTTGGAATCCAGTTTTAAAAGTGAACAAAAATTTACTGGTGCCAGGCTATAAATATAGTTCCCTAAACC